ATAGTGTGATGATTGTATCCTCCGGGCGGAAGCGCACTGTATTGTTGTAAGAGGTAAAATAAGAGATGTTGTGGGTACGAAGAGCATTGTAATGAAAAGATTCCAGCTCAAGCAAGTAAATTAATGGTACTTGAATGAATTAGAAAACTGAACTGCTGACTTAAAGAACTGCACCACCAACCTGAAGAGATCGAGAAAAAAGTATTTTCGTATTTTATCCGCATCCAGCATCGTCGTGGACGAACCTCCTGCAGTGCAGTGCAGTATGAGCTTTCACCGCACCACCCCAACCTGTAGGAACGCGAACTTATCCGCTGGAAGTACGTCTTAGCAGTACTTGTAGGCCACGGAGTACGGTTTTTATACGTTTTGCTGACACACACGACTACTTTCTCCCTCCTACAGCGAAATTTTGACGTAGTGTCCCGCTTGGAAAATTATGGCTAAAGCGAGGGGTATCCACTCTCCAAAATCGTGGCCCGACTACTCCCTATTACCTCTATTACCTTTATTACCTATGTATTACCTCTCTATTACCTCTATTACCTTTCTATTACCTCTATTACCTTTCTATTACCTCTATTACCTTTCTATTACCTCTATTACCTCTCTATTACTTCTATTACGTCACCATTACGCGTCTATTACACGATTATTACAAGAGCAATACATTGCCTCTACTATCGAATTTTTTCTCTAGATTATCGTAGGACCAACTTCAGCACCAAAGACTGCCAATAATGACGTCCGCCGGCCGGTGCGTCGTACTTCCCCCCTTTCCCCCTCTCCCATCCGTCTATCCGAGCGACTTCTAAAAAACACGAAGTATTGCCAAAATCGGAGGTATATCTCATGTGAGAGACGTCGTGGACAACAATGAAAACACACTTTTACACCTTTTCCGTTTATATTACCTTTAAAGGGGGCTTTTATCTCCCAAAAAGCATTTTTGGTACATTTGTCAATAAAATAGTTTCTGCGCCACTGTAGGTGTAGGGATGGAACCTGAGGGTATATTTCTCATCACAAGGAATGGTTTAACACATTAACAATATTCGAATGACATGAACTTAACTTTGAAGTGGTACCA